ATAATTAACCCACTCAATTCAACAGTATTAATTCAATGTTTTGGCACAGCATAATAAATAGCACTGGACTGCCAAAAGCTGAACTTCTTTTCCAGTTGAAATTAATCAAACTCTCTGGATGCATACATGTTTGTGGAGACAAAAATAATGTATATGCCAGGTTCCTCGTTCCACTGAGGAGATGGAACCTCTTCATCTCTCACCAAGAGGGATGGCATTCCATTCCAAAAAAAAAAAAAAAAAGAGTTTTATTTCCACCTATTCAAGCATCTCTATGTATATAAAATGAAGATTTTAGTCTAGAATAATCACCTTTGGACAACCCCTGAAGTATGGGTGGAAAAGAAGTATTTGATGCATAGAATGACTTGTTAAAAGTGAAACTTGTTCACAAATCAGGTAAAGTAAGAAAAAATACTTCTTAATATACTTGCAAAATTGACAAATCAAAAAGCGTATTAGCAGAATGAAAAATTAAAAGGATCTCAAGAGAGATCATTGCAGGTGTGGCCATTAAAATTGTATTAATTTAGGAAAATCAGAATTCAGAAGAACAATGTTATCAATAGATACAGAGGCAGCCAAGAAAGACTTCACCATGGTGTGCTTCAAAATAAATCACTGCAAACTGCTTTCCACCTGACCAACAGATTCCTATTGCTGTTGTAAATTCCTTAGGAAGATGCTTAATAAAGAAGTATGTTAGAAAAATGATAGGGAAAATAAAATTTTTTTGGCAGCTGTGACCCATATGTTATTTTAAAAAAACCCCAACTAAATATAAAAATAAATTCCTGCATGTTGTAAACATGTTGTCCATGGTGACTTTATTGTGCCTTCTGGTGGAAACCCCACCCTGCCTGGATTGTGGCCTTGCAGAAACTGCAGACAAAGTTTCTAATCTTTATTTCTCCTTGAAATTTCTTCCCAGCACAAGGCCTTATTTCACAAGTTGAATGCCTGTGAATTAACAGTACTTTTAATTACTTAGAGATATAATCTCTATTGGAGCATTATTTTCATTTCCTATTCATTTTCCATCCTTTCATTATCAGTCTTTCTTCACTGTTTATATTTTAATTCGTGCAGGCTTTAACAATATACTGACTCCAATAGTGTCCTAATTAAATTAACTTTACTTGCAGATTTGAACAGCAACCCACGTTGACCTCAAAAATATTCCTTTTTCTTGCTTCCAGTATACTTTACTATCTAGCAAAAAGTTCTTTTCCCCAGACACTGTTACTTCTGCAGATTCAGCCTCTCTGCAACAAGTCCTCCAATAGATATCCCAATTAATATTTCAATTTCAATAAAGCTACAGCCCAAATCCAAGTGGCCCACAATTTTTAGTCCCTAAATGTTATTTAGGTCACTTCAAATAAATAATTGCAGAGCAGTTTCTGACCACCCTAGCAAGAAAGAACTTTGATGTTCCAGATTGGATTTTTCTCCACAGCCATCATTCCCAATTTTCTTCATAATTAAAGCGCAACTCAAAAATGTCTTTCCAGAATGGGCAAAGAACTGAAGCTGAAAGTAAAGCTCACCTGTGCCTTTGCATTTCATAGCACATTAATTCACCCCTCAGCAAGCCCCAGACAGTGCCTGGACTTTCTTTCCTACAGAGAAAAAGTTCCTCTCACCTTTTGCACTCTTTTACCCCTTTTTTTTTTAATCCTTTTTTTACCCTTTCATAAAGGATATTATTTTAACATTTGAAATTATTTAACTTTCAGATAAAATACATACACTTCTATATCACCATATTGCATAGGAGTATTGAATATTCTTATTACTCCCTTTTCATATTTCTTACATTTTTTCTTTCCCACATCTTCGAGTGTGGAATCTTTTCTAGCCAGGATCCTCATATGAATTTCCTACCTGAATTCAGCTTGCTTTCAAAAGAAAAGTAGATGCAAAAGTCATGTCAAGGGATGATGCACAACATAACAAACATTCCCTGCCTTTAATAATTTGCCTTTGGAATCTGGCTAATAGGTGGTTTGGGAATAGGAATAAAAAACAAGAGTTTACTCCTTTAGTTTTAGTTTATTTTTGAATTAGAACCTTCTTCACAGGTCAGCATTTGGTTCTGGGGGTGTTCTCCAGTGCTTGCATCCCTGGAACAGCAGCTGAGGCACCATTCTTGGTGTAACCCCACCAAAAACCCAGTGCCCATCCCACAAAAGCAGCAGCCCTCAGACCCTCCTGAAAGGCACATTCCAGCATGTCCCGAGGGCTGGAGCTCAGACAGTCACATCTCCCTGGGTTTCCTGGAGCAGCAGAGCTGTTCTGCAGGTAAACCCTGCCCAGTGTGAATTCCTGACCACCCCTGAGCTTTCCTGGGAGGTTTCTCCAGGAAAGATTTCTCATGTTCCCACAGCCCACCCTGCAGGGATGGACTGCAAATCCTGCTGAGGCTGCCTGGGAGAAATGGGTCATGAACTTGGGCACTGCCCACTGCCAACCAGAAATCAATCCAGAAATCCACGCACAGAAAAAAAAATCAATGTTCATTGACACAGCCCAGGCAGGGCAAGAGCAGGGCAGGGACAGGAGCAGAGACCCAGATCCACTGGGAGCACACCAGGATGGACAGAGGGAGGGACAGAGGGACAGAGCAAAGTGCTGGTGGTGCCTCCCCTCCACAGGTGGGATTTTAAGACCAGGTTGTTGGAATTGGTGGTTCCCTGCTCTTTTTTTCCATTAAAAATGTTGAAAATAAAATTCAAGTATTTATATTTATGAATGTCCAAACAGAGCTTGTGCTCTGCACCCTGCCCATATTTCCAAGACACATTAAAGTGGGTATTAAAGTACTGATTCCTGACTGCCTGGGGCTCTGTTTTACCTGCTCATAAACTGTATTAAATTTGTAATGCAATTCAGTGAATCAGGGGCAAAATTACATGTTCCATAAGACATTCTGATTTCGATAATTTCCTGTATGTTAACTCCTGTTTAGTAGCATAAACAAAATAGAGGTAATCTTTAGCTCCTTTAAAAATTACATTTAAAATAAGATATTTCCTCAGGTTTTTGGACTAGCTGTTCTAAAAATCCATATCAGTGAGCAATTCCGAGTCATGATTTTTTCTGGCCAGCAGTCAGACATCAGTGCAACAAGCCATTAATTTTTCAAGAGTTAGCACAGAACAAGAATACAGTAGTGATATTTTAGAAATGTATTTCAGTTCATAAAGGCAGCATCAGCTCTCCTCTCATTCAATTATTGCCATTATTTAAAATAATTAAAGTGAGATTCTTAATAATGCTTTTCTATTACATGGATCCAAATCCTAATAAATGAGTACAGATTTAAAATAGATTTCCTACTGAGTCTGGTAAGGCTTTTCTGTGATCCTGCAAGAATTGAAGAAGATGATGTACAGAGAGCCAAGGAGAAATGTCAGAGGCAGGAGAACACCCCCAGGAGCAGAGCTGCAGGCAGCAGAAAAGCACACGGAACAGGCAGGGAGAGGAACATTTAGAAGCAGGAAAAAAAAGAAAAAGGCATTTTAGAGCCAGAGTGAGAAAGGAAGAGAAAGGGCAGAAAGGCAGGAGGCAAAATAAATTATACCAGAAGCTGGAAAATCCCCATCCTGCCTCAAAAAGAAAAGTAAGGTCAGGAGGCAGCACAGCAAGAGCTGCACCATTGACCAGCAGCAAGAGGTACATTCTCTGTGCTTAAAAAAGAAAAAAAAAAATCACAATAAAAGAGTCAGCAGGGTCCTCCTTGAGGACACACTGGACTGAAGGGAGATGCCTTCCCAGAGGGGGCTGCTGTGTCCCAAGGAGTGTCCCAAGGGCTCTGCTGTAGTGACACGGGGCTGTGCTGCTCCTGGATGTCCAGGGAAAAGCTCCTGACTTTGGGGCCAGGTGTTCCCAAAAGGCCCTGGCTGGTGGGGTCTGCAGCACACACCTGCCCCTGAAGCATGTCCCTGCTCTGACAGAGTTGTTTCATTTGGAGGGGCAGATCTCAAGGCACACTGAGGGTATTTTGTAATTCGAGGTACAGGAAAGAAGATGAATAATAAGAGGTACTTAAAAATGGGTTTTTTTTCCCCAGATCAAGTGCATTTTACCTCACTTTTTTGCTATCTTAATTCTAAGTGCCAGTTTCCCTCTTGGAAACAATTTCTCTTTATCGAATTCCCACAGGATAACCCAGTTATTCAAAAGCAGAACTCCTGATAAAGAAGTAGAATACTATGATTGCCACATGTAATTTACCTATGTAATTTTATTATTTTGTGTTTTAATATTTTCAATATGCTTTCATCTGTCCACCCACATGAACAGAAGTTATTTTGTTTTTAGAATTAAGTTAATGCATCACATTTTATTAGCTGGTAGGAATAAAATAGGAGAGGAAAAAATAATTTTTTGATATCAAATGCTTTGTTAAGAGGTTAACCAAATTAGTAACCAAGTAATTAAAAATATGAACAAATAATGTCCTTCCAAGAGCTTGCAGGTTGCTGAAAAAACCCAAACCCAACTTTTTTCATATGTGTCTGTAGTTTTGATAAAGTAAATTTTACCATCCAGTCTCATCTTAAAGCTCATTTTAAACAATCTTCCAGTCTAATTAGCATTACCTTCTGGCTGTGTAGTACCATCTCTCTGAACGCTGGCATGGTTAAACCACTCAGGTCTACTTGGTTCAGTGCAGTGTGGCAAATGTCAGTGAAATACAAGGGCATATGGCACATCATTACAAAACCATATGGATGCCAGGAGTGATAGTCAGCAGCATTTGAATGCAGGACCAAGAAAGTCAGAGGAAAAGCAACCAAAGACCATCAGACATAATCATTAAATGGATAAATATAGTTTCTGTGCAGCTGAGAGAAGCCAGGACATGTCTGTCATTTACAGAACAAAGGCTGCTTGAGCGTGTGGCCGTAGAGGAATCTCTACATTATTTTTAGTTTGGTTTGTAAATTTATAAATGCAGCTGATCAAGGTGAGTGATGCAAGGAGGCACTTACCAATGCACAGAGCAGATCAACTGCTTCCAGGATCAGCTCCTGGTGGCCAATGCGAGTCACCCCCAGCTCCTCCAGCTCCTGGTGAGTGATGTGCAGCAGCTGCTCCCCATTGATCTTCTCTCTCTCAAAGTTTTTGATGTATTGTTGGAGGCAATCATCGAGGCCTGGTTAGAAAAGCCAACAGCACAGATTCAGAGAGAGGAGAAAAACCCAATGAAATAGTTCTGTAGCTTAGAAATACAGAAATTTCTTGGGAGTGCAAGTGGACTTCCTTGTTTGGGGCTGTTATGGAAAGTGTGTAATGAAAATTAAAATTTAACTTACACAGCCCAGCACATGCTGCTAAAGAGAGAAGTTTATATTACTGATGTTATTTTCAACATTCTTAAACATTTTAATAGTAATTCAAAACCTTCATGGAGACAAGGGAAGGACAAAGCAGCACAGAGAGTGACATTGTAAAAAACCTTTTTCTCGTGATGTCACAAAGACCTAAATATAAGTTTATCTTATGATTAGGAACAAATTCTTCCTGTAACTCTTCCAGGACTCTTCAAGGTCATAAAGTTTGGCTGTCCCTGATCAGGAAGAGTTTTTCAGGCTCAGTACCCACCCACACTGACTCTGCTACAACCACTGCCAATTCTCACCCCAGATTATCCAGATTTCTGAATCCAAACAACAGAAAAATGGTTTTGGCACAACACCTCCAACTAAGAATACAATTTCACCCATGCACAAGGAATTGTTCCATTTCACCCTGAAACTTGATAGAATGAGAATAACTGATTATTTCGTTTCTCAGACCAGAGAAGAAAGATTAACAACACTGAAAGATTTTTTTTCCCTCCAAATCTCTTTCTAAACCACACATGCTTTGAATTTCCAGCCAGAACAATGGGTTAAACACGGATCTACTGCTGAAAGCTACATGAGGTCTCTCAGAGGTCCCTCAAGGACTGTCAGATTCAACAAAATCGTGATGTGCACATGATTTTCTAGAGAACTACAAAATGCACCTTCAATAACTCCATCTACCAAGGGAAGCAAAATACTCATTCTCAGTTATGTGCCCTGCAGTGATGCAGGTAAATCCAAAATCCATAAAATTACAGAGATCCAGAAAGCACAGAATTAATCAACTTGGGCATTTATGACAGAACTTTGAAATGTTATTTCTGCACACAGCCATTATCAAACAGACATTGAGTTTGCAGAGCGTCTGAGAAAAAGAGTTCTGACACCTTGTATGGGTGTGCTGGGGTCCCCCAATTACTTTACACCCCAATTAACACAGCTCAGCTGGGACAAAAGGACTGTGATGACAACGGAATGGAACGAACCAAAGTGTTTGTCCTCACTCAGTAAATACAAGGGGATACATTGCAGTTTCATTTAATTAACTCTTCTTTCAACACGATCAAATTATGTGCCCTATAAACTGATAGTCCTAAGTTATGTTATAGATAAAAGCTCATTTACCAAGTCAAGTGCACAGCTTTATATTCACTTGCACCTATGTTCCATACAAAGCTGGTTCAGTGATAAAAATGTCATATTTTATGGTGTAATTCAAAAGTATGAGGTCGTTTGGGAGATTTTTAAAGCTCAAATCAGCAGTCTGTAACTAATACCTAAAGCTTGCCTCCATTCTAGAATGGTCTGCAAATAGGAAACAACTTCTTTGCATCTGTTCATTATTTTTAATGATCTCATGAATGATTTTACATAAGTATAGTTTAGTTCAATTGGCTAAGTCACTGCAAATTCTCTGTTTATTATTTAACATTTTCAACTCCAAGCTGTTGCACACTTTTGTTCCCTCTTGCTCAAGAGCAATTCTTAAAGCCAATTTAGAGCAAAAATTCCAAACCCCACACCACCCAGATTTGTTTTTAGTGGACATTGCCCCAAAACTCAGAAAAAACAAAGTCACAAAACTGTTACTAGACATTAAATTATTTTCAAAAAAGCAAATTAATTTAAAAATTTAGGATCAGTGGCCCCAACAAGCATTTGTAGCATTAAGAGAGATTTGGGAAAACCCAAGTGAATGTGCCACGCTGTGAGAAGTGTGCAGTCAGATGTATTAAACCTGCCTTTGTGCCAGGGAGAATGTATGACAGCAGAGCAAAATATCAAATTTGTATTATTTGTGCTGCTCTGTAATAGCTCCCCAGGGCACCTTTACAAGGCATTTACTTACTGGTGCAAACAGTGTGGCAGTTGACAAGAGAATATAGAAATATATCATTAAAGGGCCAGGCTGTCTCACAGAATGACAGCACTTAATAAATACACTCCAAAAAAGAGAGATTTGCCCATTGCTCTCTGCTTTTCTCTCTGGGAGCCAGCTACTGAAACGTGAAACATTCCAAAGCAGAAATTCAGCATCAGGAAAATCTTCTTTATTGTCAGGCCCCCAATTGTTTTTACATGAAAATATCCCAGATGAAATTAGAAAGGGCACAGAACGAGCTCGTGTTGACTCACCCAAACCAAATGAAATATTTATTTCCTCAAGCCTCTCAGGTCTCATTAGTGCTCTTTATGCATTTTCCCCCAACACCATTTCTGTTTACAGATAAGTATTAAAGCAGTTCAGATTCATAACCGAAGAAAGAAGGGGCTTTAGCTCTGCTTAGATGTAGGTAAATAAAATTAACCCACTGGTCCCAAGATACACAACATCAGTGTCAGGCAAGAAACACAGAAATTTGCAGTTCTCTTGCTGCACATTCTTATTTTATTTGTGTGCATTTTGTAACCAACCAACATCTCCTTCAGGGCGCAATAAAATGATTGAAGAAAAATTGTTTAAACATGGATGTTTTACTTTCAAGCCAAGGCTTAACACTCATGATGAGAAAATTACGGTTGGGGGTTGGAGAATTTTTTTCTCCAACCCAGATGGGCTCAAGGAGTTAACTCACTTTAACAGGAAATCAATGAAGGTTGAAGACATTTACTAATCTCTCAGTGTGATTTGAGAGGACAAGAAAAAAGGAGTTATCCATCAGCCCAAGTGCTGACTGAGTCAGCTGGGAAGCAGCTCTGGCTGAACATTGCATTAAAAGCTGTATAAACCCTTGTGCTCAGAAAATGGCCTTGTAGAGGGAAATCAGGGAAAACATCCCATAAACCACATCCACCTGAAAACTGACATTTTCCTGCTGTATGGTTCAATTCCATGATCTCAAAGGTCTTTTCCAACCTAAAAAATTCTACGATTCCATAGTCTCTCTTTCCATTTTTAAGTTAAAAAAAAATTCATATTGAATCCACATGGACTAGGAAAACTTTATCTCTACATTCAAAAAGCAGAGGAAAAGGAAGCAACTCTGATATGCTGACTGCAAAGTGTTCTTTTGCAAATAGAGCATCTAAAGTCAAAGTCCAGGAAACATGAATAAAAAGGAGGTAGAAAACAGAAAATTGTTAGGGAGAAAGGGCAGGAAAAGAACAGCCAGTCAGCCTGAAAATGTTTATTTTTAGAAATGCATAATTAAGGAAAAAGGAATAATTGAAACAGAAAACAAAGCAAAGGCTTAAAAATATCTCTAAATCTGATTTAGGTAGTAACTCAGAGCAAACATTACAAAAGAGATGTCACATATTGTGGGCAATAAGGTTCACTGAGATTAAAATGAATCTTCCCATCCGTGTCAACAAATGGCAGGTTTGGTTTCCATTAAAAGGACAAACATTGTTGCTGTGTTATGTAAACATCTGTCCCTTCCCCTCCACTGTTGGACAGAAATATTGAAAATATTGGACAGAAGTATTGAAAATACTACCATTATTTATAAAAATATCTGTCCCTTCCCTCTGCGATGGGATAAAGATAGTGAAAATATTACCATTTCTGAAAAAATGACTATGAAATGAATGAAGGGAAAGCCCAAGTTGTTGCCTTTTATGCAGGAATGGTGCAACCAGGACAGCTCTCAGAGGAGAACAGCAGGAGCAACAACTCTGTCAGGTGTGATCCATCCCAGAAGAAATTCCTAAGTTTAAAATCCATAATTCCCAATTTTTTCATAGATCTCTCCACCATTTACGTGAATTTACTCGCTTCTCCTTTTTTTCCCCCTATATTTTAACAGATTTTTGCAACTTACTGAAAACTACGCTGGTTTTTTAATCTCTCCTAAAGAATTCCTGCCCAAATGATGAGCCTGCTGGTGCTCCAGGAGAATTCCCAGAGGAAGATGCAGCAGCTGGCTGCAGCAAAGCCTGGCTGTGAAAGGAGGGAGCAGGGCAGGGCAGGGCAGGTCCTGCCAGCTCTGCCTGGCACAGACACAGCAGCTGCCACAGGGGCACTCCCTGGCACACGAGGGGATGCAAAACCAGCCCCTCTGGTAGGAAAATGCAGTGTTGCTTTTAGGTTTTAGTGTGAAAAAGATGGAAATCAGCCCGGTGGGAATGCGCTGACCACTCCTGGCTTCAGCACTGCTGCAAGAGGAGTGAGATCCTCTCTCTGATTGAGGGTCTGACAAAGTATTCAGTGGTTTTCCTGATCAAAACCATATATGAATTTACTCGCTTCTCCTTTTTTTCCCCTATATTTTAACAGATTTTTGCTGCTGAACTGAAAGTTTCAGTTTTTTACTGAAAACTACGCTGGTTTTTTAATCTCTCCTAAAGAATTCCTGCCCAAATGATGAGCTTGCTGGTGCTCCAGGAGAATTCCCAGAGGAAAATGCAGCAGCTGGCTGCAGCAAAGCCTGGCTGTGAAAGGAGGGAGCAGGGCAGGGCAGGGCAGGTCCTGCCAGCTCTGCCTGGCACAGACACAGCAGCTGCCACAGGGGCACTCCCTGGCACACGAGGGGATGCAAAACCAGCCCCTCTGGTAGGAAAATGCAGCGTTGCTTTTAGGTTTTAGCGTGAAAAAGAAGGAAATCAGCCCGGTGGGAATGCGCTGACCACTCCTGGCTTCAGCACTGCTGCAAGAGGAGTGAGATCCTCTCTCTGATTGAGGGTCTGACAAAGTATTCAGTGGTTTTCCTGATCAAAACCATATCTAGAAATTAAAAGCACACAGCATGCCACTAAACTCCCATTTGCACAAAGGCCTATAAATAAATACGATATAGAATCTGAATATAATATAAAAGCTGAGGTAGAAGTATCTGTGGGACCTGGATCCAAAGAACAAAAGCTG